AAAGTTCTGAGCATTTCCATGTTTTTCTTCTTCAGTCTTCCCTTTACCATGTCATGTCAAAATTTTCCATGCATTGCCCTGTATTTGGCATGTCTACAGACGGAAAGCCAAGATCTCATTTCGGCTCTGATCGCCAGCGTCACGTCTGGAGGCAGCGGCGGCGATGGCAGCGGTGCCAATAGTGATCAACAGAGCCGCCTGCCCACCAGTCGCGCCTCGGGTATTTTGCCAATGGAACTGCGCCGCCTCGTAGACAGCCGACGTGAGGTGAAGAAACTTATCGCTGCGGCCGGAGATTCTGATCCCGTGCGCTGTGCCCAATGGAATATTCGCCAGATGGCTCTCAAAATCACAGCAAACAGTGTCTACGGTTGTCTGGGGTTCGCCGCTTCTCGCTTCTGTGCCCGCGGTTTGGCTGCCCTTGTCACAGGTCTGGGCAGAGCTCTGCTCGTCAACACTCGCGACATCGTCGAGAATATGGATTATGAGGTGCGTTGTCTCCCCACCCTGGGTTGTTGTCATTCCACTGCCATTAAGTTGCAGTGCGGCTCACTACTTTGTACACTAACGTAAAGCACGCACAGCTTGCTAAGTCTGCAGTCTATTTTTATCTGTCGACGTCACCCAGGTTGTTAAAAGAGTCTTCGGGCCCAGTAAGTTGTCGTGGCTGTCTCTTGTTCATGCAATACGTGTATCTGTGAAAGCAACCAAGCGTAGACGCGCTGAACCAATATCGGACCTGATCAAAGCACGGCAAGCGTTATTGGTGATGCTCATCTATAAAGAATATCGGTGGGAGTTATACGCAGACCTTATCTGCGTATGTCTCAGGCTGATCTTCTATTACCTATGATTAAGGATTCCGAGGGGATCCGAAACGTCAGGAAAATAAACCTCTTGTTCCAGTGATCGTTTCTTCTTCCGATCGGTGGGAGTCTTTATACTGCGCCCGCCACTTGGCCCCGATCCCGCCTCCAGTGTTCTTTACTCTGCCGTGACACCGGGTCCAGATGCGGAGGAGTAGAGACAGTGGTAGATGCGAATTAACCGTCCCTGCATTTACCATGCTGTAAGGCACACGGTGGACATAGTCGGCAACGGGATTTCCTTCATTTCCAAGAATTCAAATTTGTTTGTCTTTATAATTGTATGCGCGCAGATGCTGTCATAACGCTAAAAGGCAGCCGTCCTTTTTGATTCTATGCGAGTATTCCTCAAAAGCGGAGAAACGTCCGTTGTCAAACGCACATTCTGGCTTTCGTCAGAATGCTCTTTTGTGTCGTCTGTTTTCTGTGAACATGTGACTTGGAAACTTAACCGGCCCCTTGTTAGCCCATTGAGAAATATTTTGGTTTCTATGCTGCTGCCCAGTAACGCGTTTATTATTGCAGAGCGAAGCCTAAGGTTGTGTAAATGTTACAAAACAGGTATCCAAATAAAGAGAAAGGTTATTTTCGTTTGCGAAAAAATTGTAACTCCTTGCCATTTGTATGGACGGCCAAAGCGTTTCTTTTTCCTTTCAACTTTATCGTAGAAAAAGATGAAGGGCGTGAGCATCCGTTTGTGAAATAGCATAGCAAAACACTTTTACTTGGAAAAACGTTTTAGCCAACGGTTACTGTGTGATTAAGAGCCTGTACGCTTTCATTTTGGACGCCAATTCCCTTCAGTGACGAGGATTCATCTTTAGTCAAGCCCTTGAAAATGATTGTGTCCTTAATTTTTAGTTTTTATTTTTCCACGTAGTCCTAGTTCCCCCTGTCCCTTTTCTGGCATTTTCTCACTGCCTGGATGCTTCCCTATACTCAATTGTCTTCCGTTTTAGGTGGTCTACGGTGACACTGACTCTATCATGGTCAACACCAACTCCAAAGATCTGCTCAATGCCCTCGCTATTGGTGAGAAGGTGAAACACGAGGTTAATCGGCGCTTTCGTCTGGTGGAG